ACCAGGGAGGCAACTTCAAAATCATTTTCAGAATTTTGTTCTGAATCCTTTGAAGTGCTTTTTTCCTGGTAGTGCAGCAACTAGACCATATTGGCACAGCGTAAAGCATGGCCGGTCTAAAAACTTGTTTAAATATTAGAAGTTTATTTGTCAGGCAAAGTTTGGATTTCCTGTTTATAAGAGGATACAAACATTTTATATATTTGTTACATTTGGCTTGAATGCCCTCAATGTGATCTTTAAAAGTTAATTTTTGGTCAAGTATTAATCCAAGATATTTCACTTGGTTTGACCAGGAAATTGGAACTCCGTTCATAGTGACTATGTGACTACTACTAGGTTTCAAAAACGAAGCTCTAGGCTTATGTGGAAATATTATAAGTTGAGTTTTGGAAGCGTTGGGAGAAATCTTCCATTTTTGTAAATAAGAAGAGAAAATATCTAAACTTTTCTGCAGTCTGCTGCAAATAACACGAAGACTTCTTCCTTTAGCGGAAATGCCTGTGTCATCAGCGAACAAAGATTTGTGGCAACCCTGAGGCAAATCAGGGAGGTCCGAAGTGAAAATGTTATACAATATAGGCCCAAGAACGCTACCCTGAGGAACTCCTGCCCTAACAGGTAGTCGATTAGATTTGGAATTTTGATAATTTACTTGAAGAGTTCTGTCAGTTAAATAATTTTGAACTAATTTCATAATATAAAGTGGAAAATTAAACTTTTTCAATTTAGCAATCAAACCTTCATGCCAAACACTGTCGAATGCTTTTTCTATGTCTAGAAGAGCAACTCCAGTTGAGTGGCCTTCAGATTTGTTTGAACGAATTAAATTGTTAACTCTTAAGAGTTGATGAGTAGTTGAATGCCCATGGCGAAATCCAAACTGCTCATCTGCAAAAATTGAGTTCGTATTGATGTGAAGCATCATTCTATTCAAAATTATCTTTTCAAAAAGTTTACTTATTGAAGAAAGCAAACTTATTGGACGGTAGCTAGAAGCTTCAGCTGGATTTTTATCCGGCTTCAAAATTGGAACAACTTTTGCATTTTTCCATTTATCAGGAAAGTATGCCAAATGGAAACATCTGTTAAATAATTTTACCAAGAAAGACAAGGTACTCTCTGGGAGTTTTTTTTATGAGGATATAGAAAATTCCATCATCACCTGTAGCTTTCATATTTTGAAAATTTTTAGTTATAGACCTTACTTCGTCCAAATCAGTCCCCCAGGAATCATCAAAAATATTTTCCCGAGAGAAAATATTCAGAAAATCCCGAGCAACCTGATTCTCAATAGGACTAGTAAGACCCAAACTGAAATTATGGGAACTCTCGAATTGCTTAGCAAGTTTCTGAGCTTTTTCCAAATTTGTGATCAAAATTTTACCACCTTCTTTAAGCGCTGGAATAGGCTTTTGAGGTTTTTTCAAAATTTTTGTGAGTTTCCAAAAGGGTTTGGAACTCGGGTCTAATTTAGAAATATTATTTTCAAAAGTTTTGTTCCTCAGGGCAGAGAATCGCTTTTTAATGTGTTTTTGCAAATCCCGCCAGATAACTTTCATGGCAGGATCGCGTGTTCTTTGATATTGTCTCCTACGGACATTTTTAAGACGGATCAAGAGCTGAAGATCATCGTCTATTATAATTGAATCGAATTTAACCTCGCATTTTGGTACTGAGGCAGCTCTTGCTTCAACTATAGAAGTAGTCAGAGATTCAAGAGCATAATTAATTTCATCTTTGGTTTGCAAAGGAATGTTTGGATCGAAGTTATATTCCATAAATGTTCGATACTGCTCCCAATCAGCTCTATGGTAATTGAAAGTAGAGCTGTTGGGATTACAAATTATTTCTTGGGATATTTCAAAAGTTACTGGAAGGTGATCAGAACCGAAGTCAGCATGGGTAACCAATTGGCTACAAAGTTGACATGAATCAGTTAAGACCAAATCAATAGTGGAGGGATTTCTTGCAGAAGAAAAGCATGTTGGGCTGTTTGGATATTGAATAGTGTAATAACCTGCAGAACAATCATCAAACAGAATATTACCATTGGAATTGCTTTGAGCATTATTCCATGAGCGGTGTTTTGCATTAAAATCACCAATAATGAAGAATTTAGACCTATGACGGGTAAGTTTCTGTAGGTCACCCTTGAGAAAATTCTTTTGCTGGCCTACGCATTGGAATGGCAAATAGGCAGCTATAAACGTAAGTTGTCCAATTTTTGTTTCCCCCAAAGTTTCAAAAACTTTGGTTTCAAATGAAGAAAGAATTTTATGTTTGATTCGTCTATGAATAATGATGGCAACGCCACCACAGGGTCCATCAAGACGATCATTTCTATAAATCAAGTAATTTGCGTCCTTCTTAACCTTATGGGCAGGTTTAAGGAACGTTTCAGTTATAACGGCAATATGCACGTTATGAACTCTCAAAAAGTTAAATAGCTCGTCTTCATTATCTTTAAGAGATCGAGCATTCCAATTTACAATATTTAATGCTTTAAAATCCATTACTGAATTTTAAAGTCATGACAATATTATTTGCAAATTTTACTCCAGTTTGAATAGCATCAAACATGGAGTTAGATTTAAGCATATCAGAAATCATGTCAATTAATGAATTCTGTAAAAATTCCATTTTGGGGGCAGTAATGCTTCCTAAGTCAAAATTGTCAAAATTTCCGTTAGAACGTTGGTTAGTATTTTGATTTCTACCCGCTGCAATAGCAGCATAGGTAGGGGAGGAGGGGAGTACGTACAGATGAAACATTTGAAGCAGGGGAGATATTTGTACCTACGGGTACGAATGTAGAATTTGTTCTTCGCTGACCGTTGTTAACAGCAGAGGAATTTGTACCTGGTCGGAAACGTGGAGCGTTTCCTACCTGACGGTTAGAACGAGATTGTAGGATCGCTTTGCGAGTCTTACATTCCCAAAAATTGGACTTGTGGTTTTCACCACAATTTGAACATTTAAATTTCTTAGGATCTTCCTTCACAGGACAGTCGTCCTTTGCGTGAGAGGAATCACCACAATTCATGCATTTAGCTGGCATGTAGCAATTTTTAGTTCCGTGACCCCATCCCTGGCACTTACGGCACTGAGTGAGGTTTTGGAAATTTCCTCCAGTCTTCCTGAAGTGTTCCCACTTCACTCGGACATGGAGCATAAGGCTAGCTTTTTCTAAGGCCTTAAGGTTGTTTAGTTCACTAGACTTGAAGTGAACTAAATAAAACTCATTAGAAATCCCGTTGCGCGAATCGCCAGGACGGGATTTCATTTTCATTTTGATTACTTGGAGTGGCACAACTCCAAGTAATTTTGCCAGTTCATCTTTGATCTGATCCAGGGATTCACCACTGGGCAGTCCTTTCATGACAACCTTGAACACACGTTCAGTTTTGGTGTCGTAAGTAAAAAAATTGTGCTTCTTCTCAGTAAGATACTTGAGAAGACATTTAAATCCGTCCAAGGTTTCAGCCAATACACGGCATTCACCCCGACGTCCAATTTGTAGTGAAAACTTAACTTTCACGAAATTCAAAAGTTCCATGCGAAGAGCATGGAAATCGGTAGTGGTTATCACAATAGGGGGAATCTTTTCCTTCTTGGCATTAAGCCGGGAAAGTTTACTAGAATTTTTCTTGGATGATGGATCATTCTCATCATCCGTGAGCAAATCAAATTGATTACTCAAATTAATTTCATCAGAAGGGGGGTCAGTTTGCCCCTTTCTTTTGCGTTTAGGCGCCATGGCGGCAGTAAATTTTTATCCAAATCGACTTCCAAGCAGATTACTATAAGAATCTGAAGGATCGAAGAGGAATTTTCCAAATCGATATCCAAGAAGGATTACCTCGGGTAGGGTCCAAACAAGGATCGAAGAGGAATAAGAGTTGAACAAGGTAGAAAATTTTTACAGGTTGAGCACTGAAAAGTGCTGTTTAAATTTGTTGTAGCTTTAGGTAGTAGTAACACTTCCTTCAGCAAAAAGCAAATAGATCCGCACGGCAAGAGAGCACGATGCGGACTGATCTCTTACTTAATGTCTTTAGAAAGAATGTAGGCTATAACTGTAAGGCTTTGTTAGATGGTTCAGAGAACTCGATATTTTTCCTTTGAAACTCTTAGATGTCCTAGTCTAAGTTGGTTCTTCTAAAACCAATTTTAAGTTTCTTAATGACCTACACAGCAAAAACTTCGTAAATTTACATTCGACACATTAATGTATTTGCTGTCCTTAGTTGAAAAGTGTGGATGTAAAAAGTTCAATTGATTTTTATTTGATTTTCAATTAACAACGCTATAAATTTACATCAAAGTGTAAATTTCAGCTTTACTTCATTGAATTTCAGAATGTTTAACGTCTCATTTTATATTTTAAAACCTGCTCCAGTTGATAGTTGAAATTTACAAAATATTTGTATCTGCGTAATGCTGTTCGACCTGATACCTAGTATCTCGCTTTCCGCCTGCTGTTTGTTCAAATTCGAAAAATGATCGTATTTGTATTTGTCGTGAAAATCGCAGAACAAACTTTGTACATTATATTTTCTTTCAATTCTGTTTACAAAATCTAAAATACATTCCAAACATACAATTTATCGACCGGAAGCATGCTTTTGAGTCAAAATGAGGATTGAAATTTTAATCAAACTAGTATTAATAATCCAATTGTAACGATTTAAATGAACAACTTTTTCGAAAGACATAAATATAATGTAAATCCCCAAATCTGTCTTCCATGAATTATGACCGACAGTATATTTTTATTTACAAAGCAATGTAATAAAATAAATATCCTCAAATTATTTAATGTAACATATGGACTAAAGTTTCGTTGAATCTATGATCAGCCCTGTGATCCAGCGATAGTATTTTTCCCTGCATCATCTCACCAATCCACCATATCTATACACGCCTGTTCCTACTAATCCCAATCGATTCATATTTTCTCTAAATATCTTCTTCTTTCTTTCTTTCTTTGTAATCAGCCTCGCGTATTCGATATGAGATCACGAGCGGTAACATAGGCGGTGCCTTCGCAGTGAAGAATATGACGGGTGCCATCTACGTCGCTGGTGCCCTGGATTACGAGACGAGAAAACGAGTAAGTAGCCAAGTCACCATCGTCTCCATCTGCATCCCCGATGGGTGATGCGAGAGACAAACGAGCCTTCTTCGTTGGAAAAAGGAGAAAACGTGGCCGTCATCCGTGTTGACGCGATACGGGTGATCCGAGTAAGGGGATGATGGTTGTTTGTGTGTGTTTGAGTATGTTTGCGTGCGTATGTTCCATCAGTGTCCTTGCTACACGTGGGAAAAAAGACGAGGGATAATTGTATCTGGAATTCATGCGATTACACTTGAGCCGATAACAAGTTGATGGCAATTTAAAGTAACGATTTGACAGCGACAAACAAACAAGCAATAAACGTTGGGCGAGGAGGAAGGCAAGAGCGAGGTTGGGGATTTTGTTATCTCCTGTCTTGAGCTGGAGATTTCCGTTCGATCGTGCATTGGTAGGCATGAAGAAGGTTCTTTGTTTTTGAAATTGGAAGGGAAATGGTTTGACGTAATTACGGGGCTTATTTATTAAGAATGGATGATTTGGTAGGATTCCACTTCAGATCTATTTTGATTCTGCGTGATTGTCTTTATTATGAAACCATTATAAGATTCCGGGAATTCTTAATTTGCTGGGTTTTTTTTTACTAAGCAATTAGATACACCAACATCTGGAATTTAATTTTCCATTCAAATAAAAAAAAAACTCCCATCAGTATGCATGGAAAACTTTATGCTGCCATTTCTTTTATTCCCACTAATGAATTTTAAATCCCACCATAATGCAGTTCCAGATACAATTATTCTGCTGTTGATTACCTCGGGAAAGCGGTAGGTGCCCACTACTGAGCGGAACATAACAAAAATCGAGCGTGGACACATACAAAAAAAACCAACATCAAAAGGGCCCAAATTACGAGCAGAGGACACTGGCGAGAGTCCTTCGCCGAAAGCAATTCCACCCTGCACACACAAACACCCATCATCCAAAAAAAAAATCAGGAAAAAAGTTTACGTATAATTTATTATCACAACAAACAAGACAATTTTTATTATTTTACGACCGTTTTTAGTACCAACCAGCGGCTCCTCCGCGGCCAAACGTGAACACATTCGGTTGTGTGTATGAGTGTGGTTATTTTTATGCTCTGTGTCTCAAAACCCCTGCGGGTGAAAATCCCCCACCTCTGTTTTCGATTTCGGATTTTTGTTTTTACTCGTATGTTTATTTATATGTATGCGGTGTCATCCTTGGGAACTAAAGCATAAATTCATGTTCAAGCACCCGGGGAAAGTTCGTGCTCGTGAAAGTTTTCCCAGTTCCATTCCGCTTTATGGGATGACCGCGAGGACAAGTCGTTGTCGAGTTGGGTGTTTATCGCCTTGGGCACAGAAACTGCAGCCAGCAATCAGCCAAGTACACGCATGTTTTTCACGCAGACGTGCGTTCGATTTGATATTTTTATTTTAAATTAATGTCGGTTTCTGTTTTATCGCCATCAACTTGCTGCGTTCACACTAAAAGCCCGGTCGTACTCCGACGTTGTTTTGGCTCGCACGTTGTGTTCCTCTCGAAACGCTTGTTTCCGCAGTACGATCAAACGAGTTTCCTTTGATTCTTTTTTTTTTCTATTTTTCAGAAATCAGTTGTTATGTTCGTTTCCGTTTCCAGCTGTCTGTTTTTGAGGTTATTTGTGTTAAATAAAAAAAAATATACTCATTAAAGATTTATGCGTTCGCCCATCCATGCCAGCAATAATAATCGGTGGTATCGCTCCCTGGGTTGTGGCCAAAACTGTCATACCTAGATATATTTATGTCTGTCACTATGCGGCAATTTCACCGATAGGCGAACAGATCTGGCAGAGTTTTCATACATTTATTTCATCGATCTGTCAAACTTTTGTCGCTGCCTGCGGTCGCCATTGACTGCCTGTTGGGTTGACTGTGGTTTGGAGGATGTCCACTGAGATACTGCTGGCAGTGAGAGAACCGAAACCGAAACCGAGGGTATGATTTATTGCAATGACTGATGTGGCGGCGGTGGCCAAGGCCAGTGGGAAATGTTACAAGTGAAGTATTGTATAGGTGGATGGGTTTTGAGGCTGAGGGCTGCCGCCAGTAGAACGCAGAAACTAGTGGGAAGTTTTCTAAGTAATTGGCAAGCGTGACTGTGAAAAACTGCGCAAATGCGGTGCCTAGGGAGTAATGGCACAATTGATTTAAAACCTTGTTTATGTTGGAACTATTATGGATCTTTGAATTCTCCCCGGGCAAGAAGGTTTCAAACAAAGGAATCATGACGCTACTGAAATTCCAGAATTGATACATATTTCCACAGATACAAAATGTAGAAAACACTTCATTAACACTCCGAACACGATGCCTCCGGGTAAATGTGTAACGGAATACTTGCAATGTTTGATGTTTCAAACATTGCCAATTTACCGTTACACATTTTACCGGAGGCATCGTGTTCGGAGTGTTTAGGTTCAATTTGCATTTAGTAGTATGCATTTTCGAAAAATTCAAATTGCACCTGTCAATGTACTCAGTAGTTAACATGATTATCAACAATTGACTCTCAGCTGGTGCCGATATGCATCACGCGATTGTCTGCATATTCGATAGCAGGTATTGTTTGGTAAGCTTTGCTCGTCATCTGCAGTTTGCTCGGTTGATCCAATTATTGTCTACCTTGTAACTTTTCGCGATGAGGGTAGAGTGAAGTGAAGACCACGATTTGCGTCCATTTCGCCAATGGAAGCGCTTTGCCTCCCTTTAGCGTGATTGTCATATTTGTGAAACCTTCTTCTTCTTCTTGTTTGCATTTCAAGCTTTTTGCTTAGCGCATATTAGCTTATTGCGTGCTCTCAACTTAGTGTTCTAAATGCACTTCCACAGTTATTAATTGAGAGCTTTCGATGCCAATACCAATGCATGAATTTGTATATTGTGTGGCAAGCACAATGATACTCTATATGCCCAGGGAAGTCGAGAAAATTTCCAACCCGAAAGATTCCCTGGACTGGATCGGGAATCGAACCCGCCGCCTCCGGCTTGGTAATATCGTGCCTTTACTGACTAGGCTATGAGGCTGTGAAACCACTGGAAGAGAATCTAGTTCTGATGGAAGAAATTGGATATTTGATAGCAGGTGCTTTTCGTTTTGAACTTCTCGACTATAGATTTAAGATTTTTTCTTTATTATTTAAAAAAAGTAAAGTAGGAGAAATGTATGTAATGTCGGCCTAAGTGTCCCTAATTTGGGCCCATACATAAATTCAGCAATCAAATAAATTTTCAATAACAACCAAAAATATCCATTAGTACCGTCCCAATGACGCGTTCATCTAGATAAAATTGATCAATAGCAGATTTTTAGCGATGGGCCCAATGTTAGTTCCATAGGCCAACATTAGAGCCATTTCTCCTATATTTATTGATAAAAAAAAGTCATTATAAAATCACGTAAGTTTTACACGGACGAAACTACCTTCAATCATATTTTTGGAATAAGATATCCTGTATTTTTGACATATCAAGACCAGATTAGAATTATGTTGAGTAAACTGCTATACAACCAAAACCAGTTACATAAAGGTTATATAAACTGTTGTAGAACATGTGTATTGCTTGGGTGGTCGTCATGTAAGAATGCGAAATCAGTTCTTCTCCCTATCACGAGATGAAATTCCCGAGCAAAGCTGGACAACAAATTGAAATTAAAATTTGCTGTTATGATGTAGGGTTACGGTATGTAATGTGGGTCTAGTCCTTTCATTCGGCCTATCACGCAAATAAATAATTAATTAAGGAATATTACACAAAAAAATAAGGAAAATATTGATCACTGATGATTGATAAATGTGTACCACACACAAATCAATTTATATCACAACATTTCAATACATTTTCAGCTCTCGTAAGTAATAAAACTGGTTGAGAATATCACTCTGTTCGGAGTTTTTAGCCGCCATGACTTCTAAGGTTAAGATGGGAAGGTTGCACTGACGATCATCAAATGGCCTGATTATGGCATTTATTGAATGGAATTACCTGATAATACACACTAGACGTAAAACTCACAGTTACTGTTTGAATATTTTATGTTTATTTTAATTGTTTAACAACGTTTTCACAAGTAAATCATGGACCCAACTTTAGGGACACATTTCTTTTCTATGTTCCTAACTTTGGCCCATGAAATTCATTTGACAGCATATAGCAATAAGAGTAACGTCAACAATGTGGTTTGCATTTGGATGATAAGGAACGAACAGGAAGGGAGATTTTTTCTGCCAAATCTGTATAATGAACATCACAATGTTTTGATTTAGATATTCTGCGGTCGAAAGACGATAAGCGAAATTTTTAATTTTTAATTTTTAACTTGAGTGATTTAATGTAGTTTTCGTAAAATTTTCTCTAAGAAATGTTTTGAGGAATGAAGAGTATTAAGTTAACAGTGATAGTGATAAAAAAAAATACATAAGAAAACGTTACCAAGAGCGTTTTTTTTGAGAATCAAACAGGATAGGACGAAGTTGCATCCATAAATAGACCCAATTTGGGGACAATAGACCGATATTACATACATTTCCCTGGTGAGTTTTTGTCTTAAAAAAAGTAAGTTTTTAAACTTTTTGCGGTTCCTGATAGCAAACGACATGATAAGCATATCTAAGCATACCATTTAGCAGTAGAATATCGTTTGCAGGTAAATTAATTGATGAGTTATGATTAAAAACGTAATCTATGGCTGCATATTAGACCGAGGTTAGGGACGTATACCCTATTTTTTTTTTTTACTTCGATTGATCTAGTTTTCTATGGATTAACGTTTAACACAGTAAAAAGAAAGCAAAATTTATCACTGTTGAATCAAACGAAAAACTAATCATGCTTTCATCAAAATCAATTTGATTACTGATTTTATAATATTAAATAATATTAATTAATATTAAGTAATATTAAATAATATTAAATAACATTAATAATATTAAACTGAATGCGGGCCTGGCGTTAATGGAAAATTGAGTT